AGAATTCCCAATATGATGGAAATCCCAATATCAACCACAGGCCATGGTTGGGTTATCCCGTCCGTATACTTTTGCTATGTGGTAATGTTTAATGTTGGTGAGTTTATTCATTGCCAAATATCGAGCAAAAGGAACAGTGAGGTCATAGTGAAGAGACATCAGCTCCCTACCCTGGTCCTTCAGGCCATGGCTAAGCTTAGAGTCTTCTCTGTACTTGCCAGTCAGTGTTTCCTTTAGTTCAAACACAGGCATATCAATTACTTCTGCACCATGGCACTTGAAGCAGCTGATGATTATATCAAACACCTTCTCCCCAAACTGCCATTTGCCAGGGATTGTAGTCTCTTGTGCCCTAAGGAGTTTTGAACATAAACTTCTGTCTCCTTTCATCATGGCCCAGCTGTGCCTTCGGTTGCAGTAGTTTTGCCACCTCCTCCTTGATCTCCTTGGTGCTAGCCTTTTGTTGTTTCAGTCCCCCTACAAGCTGTCCCTGAAGTCACAGTAGCTCCTCCAGCACCACACGCTCTGCCATAGTGGCTGCTAACTGGACAAGGACTGATGTCATGCTTGGTGGTGGTGGCCACAGCTTCCTAAAATATTTTTTTACTTATAAAAAAGAGAGAGGGGAAGGGAGGGAGAGAAAGGGGGGAGAGAAACATCGATGATGTGTGAGAGAAACATCAATTGGCTGCCCCTTGCACACCCCCCAAACAGGGACCTGGCCCACCACCCAGGCATGTGCCCTGACCAGGAATCAAACCAGCAACATTTCACCCTGGAGGACACCCAACCAACTGAACTATGTCCATCAGGGCTGAATTGTATAAGTTCTTTATAAATTTTAAATATTAACCCCTTATCAGATATATCAGTGAATATGTTCTCCCATTCAGTAGGTTGTCTTTTCATTTTGTTGATGGTTTCCTTTGCTGTGCAAAAATTTTTAGTTTGATGTGGTCTTGTTTATTTTTTCTTTTCTTTCCTTTGCCTGAGGAGATATATCCAAAAAATGAGATGTTTAAGATTTTACTGTTTCCTTCTAAGATTTTTATGATTTTGAGTCTAACATTTCAGTCTTTAATCCATTTTGAGTTTATTCTTGTGTATAGCATAAGAAGATGGTCTAGTTTCAATTTTTTGCACATATCTTTCCCATTTTCCCAACACCATTTATCGAATAGACTGTCTTTACCCCATTCTATCCTGTGTCAAATACTAATCGACTCTAAAGGTATGGGTTTATTTCTGGGCTCTCTATTCTATTCCATTAATCTATATGTCTGTTTTTATATTAGTACCATGTTGTTTTGATTGCTGTGGCCTTGTAGTATATTTTGATATCAGGTAGTGTGCTTCCTTCAACTTTGTTCTTCTTTCTCAAAATTGCTGTGGCTCTTTGGGATCATTTATGGTCCCATATGAATTATTGGAGTATTTGTTCTAGTTCTGTGAAATATGCCATTGGTATCTTGATAGAAATTGTGTTAAATCTATAGATTGCTTTGGGTAGTATGGATGTTTTAATGACGTTAATTCTTCCTACCCATGAACATGGTATATGTTTCCACTTATTTGTATCTTCTTAAATCTCTTTCTTCAGTGTCTTATAATTTTCTGAGTACATGTCTAGTGAAATTGAAGCAGAATTAAAAAAAAACTCCTGGACTGGATGTCTTCACAGGTGAATTTTACCAATCATTCAGAGAAGAACTAATACCTATCCTCAAACTGTTCAAAAAAATTCAAGAAGAGGGAAGATTCCCAAGCTCAATTTACCAGGCCAGCATTATCCTAATTCTAAAACTAGATAAAGACACTACAAAGAAAGAAAATTATAGGCTGATAAACCTGATGAACACAGATGCTATCATCCTCAACAAAATATTAGCAAACTGGATCCAGCAATACATAAAAAAGATCTGCCCTTATCTGCTGGCTCAGTTGGTTGGAGCATCATTCTGTACACCAAAACTCCAGTGAGAGCACATACCTAGGCTGTGAGTTCAATCCTCAGTCAGGGCATGTACATGAGGTAAACAATCGATGTTTTTCTCTCACATCTATCTCTCTCTCTCCCTCTCTCTCTCTTCCTTCTTCTCTCTCTAAAATCAATTAATATATACTCAGGTGAGGATTTTTTTTTAAAAAAGATCTTATACCATGTTCAAGTGGGATTTAGTCCAGAAAGGCATGGTTTGAATAATATCTGTAAATCAATAAATGTGATATACCACATAAGCAAAATGAAGGATAAAAACCACATGATCATACCAATAGATGCAGAAAAAGTATCAGATAAAATCCAGCATCCATTTATGATAAAAACTCTCAGCAAAGTGGGAATAGAGAACATATCTCAATGTAGTAAAGGTATATGGCAAACCCACAGCCAACATACTCAATTGGCAAAAACTACAAGTGTTTCCCTTAAGATCAGGAGCAAGACATGGATGTTCACTTTCAATATAGTACTGGAAGTTCCAGTCACAGCATCAGACAAGAAGGAATAAGACCATCCAAATTAGAAAGGAAGAAGTAAAACTGTCATTATTTGTAGGTGACACAATACTGTATATAGAGACCCCTAAGGATTCCATAAAAACACTACTAGCATTGATAAATGAATTCAGTAAAGTAGTAAGATACAAAATAAATTCCAGAAATCTGCCCTGGCTGGTGTAGCTCAGTGGATTGAACACAGGCTGTGAACCAGAGGGTCACCAGTTCAATTCCCAATCAGGGCACATGCCTGGGTTGTGGGTCAGGTCCCTAGTAGAGGGTGTGCAAGAGGCAACCACACATTGGTGCTCCTCTCCTTCTCTTTCTCCTTCCCTTCCTCTCTCTCTAAAAATAAATAAATAAAATCTTTTTAAAAATATCCAAAAATCAATTGCATTTTTATACACTAACAATGAACTATCATAAAGGGAAACTAAGAAAGCAGCCCCACTCATAATTTCTTCCAAAAGAATAAAATGACTAGGAACAAACTTAACCAAGGATGTAAAAGACCTATACTTGGAAAATTATTAGTATTTCTTTAATTTTTATTTAATGTCCTTTTTATGTTCCATGATGCCATCCAGGATACATTACATTTAGATGTCAGGTGTTCTTAGACTCCTCTAGACTATGACAGTTTCTCAGACTTATCTTAATTTTGATGATCTTGACCATTTTTAATGATTAGATATTCTATAAAATATTACTGAACTTGGGTTTACCTGATATTTTTCTCATGGTTAGCCTGGTTTATGGATTTTAAGAGGAAGACCACAAAAGTAAAGTACCCTTCTCATCACATCATATCAAGGGTGTAACTGAACAAACAGGGGTTCAGCTGCATGCCCCAAAGAAAGCCAGACTTGTGAGGCAGGTGCTAGTGCAAAAAGCAAGAGGTTTTATTAAGTTGTCACCTGTGACCTGGGAGAATGGTAGACTCCCATCTAAAGGCCATCTCCTTTTCCTGCTCAAGGCTGCTATTCTTACATGGATAGGGAGGGGAGAACTTTTTCTATTCATTCATATCTCTAGCTTTTGGCAGCACTCAGTGTAAGAACCCCCTGCTGCCATCTTAGTCAGTGGGGGAGACTCCTCAGCACTCAGGCTGACTGTCTGTGGTTACAAGGGTACATACTATCAACATGACTTCATTGTGAATGTTAATCACCCAGCTGAGGCAATATGTGTCAGATTTCTCCATTGTGAAGTTATTATCCCCTCTTTCCATACTGCTGTCTTTGGAAGGATGTCACTATGTACTTTATACTTAAAACAGAGTGTCTACATAAATTATTTGGAATTGTGTGTGGGAGATTTGTGTTCTTCCCCTCTTATTAATTTATTCAATCATTTATATCAGTATGGACTTGTGGGTATTTTTAATATTTAATGTTATAATCTAATATTAAGTAATTTATTGCTCAAATTGTTACATCTTTGACCATTGGGTCCACTTTCAGTTTGCTCCTGTGTCCCTTTGACATACTGTATCAGTTTGCTTTTGAGAATGTCCGTACTGTTTGGCACTATACAGATGTATTCTACTGTCTAATCTAATTGGAAAAAATGATATAACCTTTTAATATAATTACAAAAGCAAGATATGATAAATTGATGAATATTAGCACATATTCAGCAGTTACAAGTTTGTACCTTGAATTGTTTTGAGTTCAATTTCCTATTCATATCTTACTTTTAGCTCATTTTAGAAGTTAATCAATTATTTTTTATAACCTTGCACATTATAAGGAGAAAGAGAGTCAATGAATTTAGAGTAAAAATTTTTGTAAAGAAAACTGGGGTACTTGTTGCTGATGATTAGGAATTGTATTATGAAAGGACCATTCATGCACAAACTGATCTGCTAAAAGAGGCAAATTTATATGTTAAAAGAAATGAAAAAAAATAGCAAGTGACCCTCAATTTACTTTTGAATTAACCTGCAGATTAAAAGATACTAGGTCCATTTTATTGGTTATAAACACCCAACACCATAAAGATTAGGGAAGGAAAAAGACCTAGGAAGTAATATTGGTTGTCAATTCTTTAATTCCCAAAAGACATTTCCACAGGTAAATTAGGCCAAAGGTCAGGAAATTGTCCAAATAATTATGATTAGGAGGAAGTTGCAGTTCTCACATTTCTGGTTCTCTTATGTGCATTATTAAGAAAGATAATACTTTCTAATGTTCTTTCAGTTTTTCAAGTTTATCCTTTTACTGACTAATAGGCATCAATTCCAAAGTATATTGCACAACAGCTACTTATGAACATATACCTGGCTAGTAGATATAGTACCTTCATTCATGAAATTCAGTGTGCCTGATAGCTAACACTTAGTTAACTTCTCTGTGAGATAAGAACAGAGCAAAAACTTCTACAGATGAGAAAACAGAATCAACAGTGGCACTGGAACATAAGCCAGAATACTTGCTTTTCATTTCATTTACTTTATTTTTCAGAACTATACTGTATGATATAGAGAATTGTCATAAGCAGAATGCCCTTATATTTATTTATTTTTAAATAAATGTATTTGAGTGACATTAGTTAATAAAATCATATAGTTTCAAGTGTGTAATTCTATGATACATCATCTTTATATTGCATTGTATATCCACAAACCAAAGCAAATCTTCTTCCCTCTCCATATATTTGACCCCCTTTACCTTTTCCTTTACTACCTCCCCATCCCCTTCCCTCTGAATGCCCCTATATTTAGTTAATATCAATTCTAATTTAATACAGAAATGACCTCTTCAAATACTACTTAAACTTTGTGTGGGAAGGATTGGAGTGGAGAAAACAGGAGTAGGGGGAGACAAATCAAATCACATTTGTAGGCCACATGACAACAATAGGCAGCTACTTATATTTCATAAGGTAAAGTCTTGTTAGATTCTAACATGCAAACTAAAAGATCAGAAAAGATAGGACAACTAATTTGAAGTCTCAAGTTTTTCAACAAAGTTGAACCTTCTGACAAATGCTAGATTACCAGAATGACCCATAAGCTTAGATAATTAAAGGTAGTTTCTTCATTAAGATAATAAAGACCTTTAGCTGAGAGGAAAAGAGTCAAAATGACCAGGTATCAGATACACTAGTGAATAGCTAGTGAGACAAAATGTTTAATTATCTACATATCTTAGGTATATACAACTGTTATAAGACTATTCCTTAGGAAACATACATTTAATTACAATATTAAAAACGAATATAAGATTGAGTTTCTAACAGAAAAACAAACCCTATCAGAGGCAGAGTTACATGGAGTTACCCATTTCTTATACAGATGCTGACTTATGCTCCCCACCATAATATTTGATAACAAACATTTTATTTCAAAGATTTTATTTATTTACTTTTAGAGAAAAGGAGAGAAACATCAATGTGTGGTTGCCTCTCATGCATGCCCCCCTGTTGACCTGGCCCACAACCAGGCATGTGCTGTGACTGGGAATCGAACTGGCAACCCTTCAGGTCGAAGGTTGGCACTCAATCCACTGAACCATACTAGCCAGGGCTGATAACAACAAACACTTTATTAAGCATCTATCATGTATCAAGAACTCTGTTAAGGACATGAAAAGATGACTAAGAAAGTAACTGAGCTCACAGTCTAGGGATGGCTGAAAGGAAAACATAATGGGCCATAAGAAGGAAGACAAGTTCATATGAATGAAAAGCTGGAATTCCATTGTGGGGAAAAGAGGAAAGAGGATAGATGCTTTGGAAAGGGATATAAAAGTAGATTTCTGCACCATGGGAAACTGGGTGTTGTTCAATCTTATCAGATTCTGAAGACATCTCTAAATCCAGCTCCCCAAAGAAAACTGACGCAAGGACAATGGAACAGCTAAAAGTAAGTTATAATTACAGCAAAGAAAACAACAGCCAGCACACATCTGGCCATTGTTATTGTTGAAGTTGTGGAATTACTGCTTGCAATTGCTCTTGTCATCAGAGGCTTCCTGATACGATCTTCTGTGGTAAGGAGAGCTTTTCGAGCCCCATTCCACTTTCCTGGGCCCTGTAGACGATATTGGATTGGAGTACAGGGTCCCAATAATAACTGTAATGCCAATTTGGGGTCAGTGAAGGCCAGATACAGCAGATTGGGCTTGACGCCCACCAGATCAGCAAGCTCTTCCATGGTATCTATAAAATCTCCCTGAATGGTATGGCGTTGGCTCTCCACATACCTGAAGCAGAGAAGACAAAAGCCATGGTCTAATCACAATTTAATCAATTAATCAATCAGTGAATTAATCAGTGCTTTCTAAATGTGTGCTATTGGCTCAATATTGTTCTGGGAGCTGTGAAAAATAGGGAAGAGAGATAAGACATTGTCTCTATCCTTAAGACTTTATCATCTGCTGAAAAAGATAAGATAGATACACACATACGAAATATAGAAGAATATAAGACTTTTGGCAAATCACTTATGCTAAATAGAAATACAGAAGAGGGTAGTTAAAATAGGGCTATAACAAATCTTTGAAGGATGTGGAAATACAGATAAGCTGAGAACAAAGAGGAAAGTATTACAAGTCAAGGGGACAGCAGGGTGAAGGAATAAGGCAAGAATGAGTGAAGAATGTGAGTATGAAAGATCTGTAGGCACTACCTACAGTGGAGGAGGAATGTTGTAATAAACAAGGATGGATATAGAGAGGCAAGTATCCAGATACAGAAGAGTGATGTTAACAGAAAGAACACACAAAACTTCAGTTTGGGACCCCTAACTGATAGCAGTGGTGGTGGGTTCCACAGAGCAGGACTTCTGAGAGCCAATGTTAATTCAGAATCTTGAAAGAAGGGGGAAGGATGACATATTCCATAATAGGAAGTGACTCTCCAAATGGAGTCAGATGGAATGATTATACCAAGTGCAGATTTGAAGAGCTAAAAGGGCCTTTTAGAGGGAAATGTGGTAATAAAGATGCCTGTGTGGAAGGAGTAGGATTTAGAGAGCTAACTGGTAACTTTCTTGTTTTACTTACTACAGTAAAAATAAAAGAAAGAACAGTGGGACAGACAGGAAGAGAAAAGCCAAGTCAAATTAATTAAGATTAGATGGGCTTATTAAAAGAATCCAAAAACAAGGACAGGAAACAAAATAGAAAATAAATTTAAGGTAGAATTGGTGAAATGGAATCCCACAGGAACTGACATATTCTAAAGTTCAGAAGAGAAGGTAAGACAGGACAGAATCTGGGAGTCCTCCCTTAAGGATGTTACATTGGCTCAAGTGTTTATAGACATGTATTTATCCTACAGTACTGGATCACAAGCTGTAGTATTCATGAATTTTTCACAAAGAGATTCACTAGCACCTGCCTTGTAGGGTTTTTATGAGGAATAAATAAACTCATACATACAAACCATTTAGTGTATGTACATAGTTGACCCTCAGTAAAGGTAAATTATATCCTTAGGGACTGCTCAGTCAGAAGGCAGCCAGACAAAAATAAGTAAATAAGTAAAGGAAAGGGTAGAGTTGAACTTGGATATTTAGTACCAGAAAAACAAAGAAAGAAAGTACTCCAAGAAGGAAGAGAAAGATGAAATGTTTAAAAGTGTCAAACTGAGAGAGGAAGGAAAATGAAGTTGATCATGGATGCCCTTTAAGAACACAGTAGCAGAAATTACAATGCAGGGAGCTTAGGAGAAAAAAGGGTGAGAATTTAGAGCATATAGTGCCCAATATTTATTACAGAAGTTTGACAGTGAAAACAAGGAGAAAGTAGAGTATCTGGAAAAGGCATAAGGGTTAAATAAAAACTCTCTCCTCCAAGATAAGGAAGAGCTATGCTAATATAACCATTTAAAGAAAACCACATATTTAGGCCTGGAGTGATTGTGCCTCTGACTTTCACACAAAAGTTTAGGAACTTATCATCAACTTCTACTTTGTCCAAATAAAAATCAACCAGTGAATAAGCTCAGTTCTGAAATTCAGATTGCTGAATTATTGTATCCACCCAAGCACTAAGCAGCACCTTTCCAAATCATGAGCCACTGTGACCTACCTGAGTGTGCTGTCACATGATGACGGCCCACAAAATGGCCTCTGCAGATTTGTAAGTCTTCCTGCAGATTTAGAATTCAACCATATATACTGCTTAATTCATTGTCACTGTTCCTTTCTCTGGCAGCTCTACAAGCACTTCAAGTAAACCTTGCAAAAAGGTTTATACCTGGCCAGGCATATATATGCCTGACTTTCTCTCCATATGCTTTTTACTACTCAACTTTTCTTTTAGGTCCTACATGTATAATTTTATTTTATTTTATTTTTTTATTTTATTTTTTTTATATTTTATTCATTTTTAGATTTTATTCATTTTTATTTTTTTTTAGAGAGGGAAGGGAGGGAGGGAGGGAGAGAGAGAGAGAGAGAGAGAGAGAGAGAGAGAGAGAGAGAGAGAGAGAGAGAGAAACATCCATGTGCGGTTGCTGGGGGTCATGGCCTGCAACCCAGGTATGTGCCCTGGCTGGGAATCGAACCTGTGACACTTTGGTTCGCAGCCTGCACTCAATCCACTGAGCTACGCCAGCCAGGGCTTAATTTTAAATACTTTTCTTAAGCTTCTTCTTCTCCAGCCATATCCAAATCACTTGGTGCTATTTTTCCATTCTATTGTCAGAAACCATTATTTCCTTTTCCTTCCAAATACAATCTAAATCCTTAAACTAACATGATAAAGATAAATATGGTACAATTCTGTTCTTATTATGTAGAAAAATTTAGCACATACTTTCCTGGGAGAATTTCTCACCTTTTTTCAATTTGCTCTTGAGCCTTAGTTATTTCTATTTTCATTTCACTTTGTGAAGGTAATGCTTTGAGCCCTAAAGAGAAAAATCAAAAATTTATGTGTAAAGTTACCTCAGTAGGAACAATAATCCTATTAACAATTACTATGTTCTAAAGAATTCAAAAAAATACAGCATAGTTTTCTGTACTCAAGGAGGCTACACCTTACCTTAATCACCTTACCCTACTACTACCATAATATAATGATATTATGATATATGATAATATGATATAATACTACCATAATACTAACCTCAGTAGCTTTCTGTATTCTACTCTGTCTCTAAGAGATATTTCTCTTAACTCTGTCTTCTAACTGATACCTGCTTCCTCCTTAGCATAGTCTTTCAACTGGGAAATGAAATATGGACACAAGGAAATGATAAATGGCCTTAAAGTACATGGAAATGAAGTACAAAGTAAAAGGGCAGGGAGAACACATGTACAGTTGTACTCTTAATGACAAAGAGGCCTCATACCACAGGGAGAAGAAAGTAAAAATTAACTTTTAATCCCATTTCATGCCTAAAGTCCTATGGAAGATAAGCCTCATCTTCTAAACTTTTTTACTTGGTCAGAATGGGGGTAAGACCAAGGGCAACTCATAATACCCAATTTTTACAGTTGAACTTAAGCACTAATGAACAAACAGTTCCAATAGTAGGAATTTAACATCATGGACCTGGCCAGAGAAAGGTTGAATTAGTATTTAAGTCAACATAAACAACTCTAACCTAAGGATTAGTTTTATGCCAAGATTTATAAGCACTATGCCATGTAGATAATTTTAGCCACACCCAGCCAGAAGGTTTTACTCTAGAATATTCTAAATGGTATAATTTTAAAATGGTAACACATCATACCTAATACACGCCTTCCCTGTGCAAATACTTTAATCAAATGGTTATCTCTTTTCTCCTTAAACATTTCTGCTGATGGGGGTCTCATTACCTTCTGAAAAGATGGTTTTTAATTGGCTGCTCTAGCTGCTAGAAACATATTCCTTTTATTGACCCTAAAATCTACTTCCACGCAACTTGCTCCATTGGACTTCGCTCTGTCTTTTGAAACCAAGGAATCTAATCTTAAATGACAGGCCTTGAAACATCTGAAAATGAATATCATAATTTCTTCAAGTCTTATCATCAACAGCAGTGTACTAGTTCCTCACATAACAGGTTTTACATGCCCTGCCATGTTGGTTGCCCTTCTCTGTGCACAAGCTAGTTACTATCCTAGCATGTCTCTCTTAAAATGTGAGACTCAGAAATTCAATACTCAAGAAATAGCCTTCACGCCTTGCCATGTGTTTTCTCATTTTACCCTTGGGAATTATTACTTATATTCATATGTCAGTGAGGAAACATTGAAATGCTTCATTTGAGATTAAGCACATGTCCCTTGCAATGCTCATGAAACATATTTTGAGAGTAGACTTCTAAATTACTTATAGTACCATAACTTTTACTTCTATTTACTAGAAACATCATGGGGAAGGGGGTATGTTTCTTGCCTGGGAGAGGCAAGCAATTCATAGAAAACAACAAAGGAAAAACTTCTATAGATTAGATAGGAATACACACACACACACACACACACACACACACACATATGCACATATCCTGTGGTACAGTTCTCTCTCAATTCATTAATACTGTTCTTGTAGTGTTTCCTTGTTCAGACACATAATATACTTTTACCATATTTTTTTTTAATTTCCCATCTTCTTATCTTGCTCCCCCTCTTAGGTTACCAGTTTAAATTAAAGACCATAGCACCTGAGCCTATTCTTTTCTTGCTTTCATCTCCAACCTATATTCCATCAGCAAACCTTTTAAATTCACTAATGATAGAACTAAGGGGAATTAAGAAATGATAGAACTTTGGAAAGTTCTTTGGAAAGGTTTTTGATTTATCAACTCTAATACCATTGTTTCTGTTTTTTTCTCTGCTACCATAAAGATAGGCACTAGGGAAGAGGAAACTGTAATTCCAGCAAGAACTCTGGATAGTTTTAATTAAACATTAGTAATGATAGTATGTTTTATTATAACCACTATAGAATCAAATAATTTCTTTGTTATATTTCTCCCTGTTCTGGGATTTGAATCTACTTCATATTGGCCTAGCCAAATGGCCATCCAGACTTTTTTGTTCTCTTCCTATTTTGTTTGGATTCCTCACAATTTCAGAGGCAGCCCATTCCATCTTGAAATGGCACCAGCTGATAGAAAAAAGTTTGTTTTTAATGTTAAGCTGATATCGTGCAATCCTCAAAGTTTCACTACTTGGGCCTTGTGCAACCCTTTGAAGTGATACTGAGCAAATTAAATCCTTCTACCATGGGATATCTCTTCAGATATCTGAAGGGAACTCTCATATCTCCCCTGGATCTTATCTGCTCTAGGCTAAATCTCTCCAGCTTCTTCAGTTATACTTCAAGTGGCATATTTTCAAATCTCTTAACCACTCTTGCCTCTCCTATTAATGCACTCTAATTGCACTTTTAAAACATGCCTGTGGGTTTACTCTGACTAGAGAAGAACAACTGTAAATTCTAATTTTCTAGAATTTACAAGAATAATTGTAATTCTAATTATAATGTTATAATTTTTTGATGATGCTAGATATAATTAAGCCCTTTGAAAGACATATTCTCCTCACTCACATTAAGCCTAGTATCTCAAACCCCAAAGTTTTTATTTTTTTCTCTTGGCTAAATTCTCCTAGCCAAGACTGAAAAAGAAGATATAAAGAGGGGAAAGTGAGAATTTGAGAGGCTGAATCTTCTCATTCTGGACTAGTCTTTAACCAGATCTTAACTTTTGGCTAAAATCAAATAATCAAATCATGCCATTTCTGTTCACAAATATGTATCAGTCGTCTAAAATCTAGATGAGTAGATTCTGATCTAAAGTGCACATTGGAATCACCCAAGTAACATTTTCTCAATGATCTCAAAGTCTCCCTGACCCCAAACTTACAAAATAAATACCACCAGGCAAAGCATGCCTATTTTGGGACAATTTCCCAGGAGATTACGATATATGTCCATGGTTATAAATAACTGCTTTATATTCACTCAAAAATTGATTATTGAACACTAATTTTGTGTCAGGCACTATAACGTTTATACATACTGTGTCAGCTATTTAAAAGCAAGAACATAAATATAACTAAACATACTACCAATTAATTAAGTAGTCAACTTGCATGGTTACTTACCTTTAAATACTTGAGTGACCCAGCGTCCTTGGAGCTCTGAAATGGGCATAATGGCACCCAAGGGCTGGATCAACCCTATGATTGCAAGAGTTGGCTTTTCCAGGTTAGGAGGGAAGACCTTTTTATACAGAGATATCTTGTTTTTTACTACTTTGACAGAATCTTCGAGAAAAGGAAAAGCAAAACTATAGCCCGTGGCAAAGATAACAGCATCAATGTCATCCTCCCTGGAACCATCTTCAAATATGGCAGCTGTCTCTGTGAATTCCTTCACATTTCCTTTCACCTTCACCGAGCCAGAAATTATACGATTTGGCAGGTCATCATTGACTGTTGGATGTTGACTCAGAGCTCTGTGAGTGGTGATAAAGACCAAAAAGAAGGAAAAATGAAAGTGATCATGGGGTCATGGAGGTAGAGAGGAATCAGTAACATGTAAGTAAAATTTTACTTTGCTGGAAGTGGTTAAACAATATGCCAATGGTCTCCCTTTTGGTCTACCCATGGGATTTGGGAAAGGTTTAATGCATTTTGGCACAGATCAAGATCTCAGAGCAGAAGTTGGACACTGGATGGCATTGGAAGGAAAGATGTTGAAGTGAAGTGAAAGATGTTGGAGGGTGCATGTATAGTACTCAAGGAATAGTAGTGTTCTCAGTTATGTAATAGAGCTACAGGCAATAATTTTTATCTGTATGAAAAGAATACAGAAGTGGACTATCAGCATTCTGTTGAGTCTCATTTCTAGTTTCAAAGGCCCAGAGCTAGACTTAGAATATTATTTTTTAAACTGTAGAATGAATTACATGTGCATAGTAATTTATAGTTATAAACTGTTTTTACGTACACTAACTTATTTGAGTCCCACACAAATCCAATAAAGAAAGCAGGACAGGTGTCATTATCCAGGTTTTATAGATGAGAAAACTGAGGCGTAAAGAAGTGGCTTGCCCAAGGTCACACAGCCTAAAATTTTAAAATTTGTATCAACATAGTTTTCTATGAACTTCCTTGTGTTTCCTATAGGATAAGGATGCCAAAAAATAACGCAGGGTTTCCCGTATGTTGGACCTTTCTAAAAAGCAGTCTGTGTCCTTGGATCCTAAGTTAACAGGCTCTGAGAATCCTCAGCCCATCATGTTCAGACAGAGCTGGCCTAGCCTCAGGAACATGGTATGTTTAAATAACTATTACTGGTTTGTTGCATTTAGTTATGCTTTGACTCTAAGTGTTTACATACAGGATCTGTTCTCATTCTGACATCATGATTTCATCTTTTTCTCCAAACTTACTCCTTTTGACTAATACTACCACCATCCATCCACATAGTTGCCTAAGCCACAAAATAGTCTTACATCTGGTTACCAAGTCTTTTTCTTTTCTCCTCTAAACATCCCCAGGATAATTTTATCTATTTTCTATCTTACTGGACTATTAAAATTGTCTTTAGAGCCTCCTGCTCCATCCCCCTTTAACTATGTTCTACATAATTTTTGTAGTGGTTGTTCCAAAATTCATTTCCTATTATGTCACCCACTTGATTAAAATCTTACAATGGATCTGGACTATCTTCATTCCAAACTTTTTTTTTAGCAAAGTCTACAGAGGTTTACTTGGACCTGCCCAGTGAGCCTGGAGATGTGCTCAGTCACTCTTCCACCCTTTCCCAGATAGTCTAGTCAAACCAGACTACATGCAGGCACCAGAGCATATTTTTTGCTATTTCAAGATCTTGTACTTACAAGTAGAATGCTACTTCTTTACCCTATTTGCTTAACTATTTCCTATTATCCAATAAAGTCTCAATTTATTTTGTAATCACTGAAGTTACAGATGCTACAGTTTCCATAATTTGGGTGAAATAAATGGGTGAAAGGTGTTGGGGAACAGAGCCTCAAAATATCACCCCACTCAAAGGAAAAAATCTTTGCAGAGGAAAAACCTGGTTGATATCACCTTATCCAAGTGATTAAATTTGACAACATTAATATGGAATAAACTGCAATCATGTGGCCCCTGATGTGACCTACCAAGGCACAACATAACCTATGAGCATTTGTGCCCAAAAGGTTTAACTTGAATATAATAAAGGAAGTCCAAACATACAGACTTTTGGCAAAACAATTTAGCTTGGATTTTTTTAAAGAATTATTTCAGATTAAGAGAAATTAAAGAGACATGACAGCTAAATGAAATGGTGTAATACCTGACAATATCCTGAATTTAAAAATCAAAAAGCTATAAATATGTATTATTTGGGTAACTTGGTAAATTTGAATACATTATATAATGGTATTTTGTCAATGTTAAATTTTCTAAGTGTGATTATAGTATTATGTTTATGTAGGAGAATGCCTTTTTTCTAAGGCAATATATGCTGAATAATTTAGGGTATAGTGTCTTAGTAATTGCAAGTTACTATTAAATGGTTCAGAAAAAACATGTGTACATGTATGCAGTATATATGATATATATGTATGAATCTATCTTCAAAGAGAGGGAGAGAGAAAGCCAATATAGTGAACTATTAATAATAGGTGAATCTAAGTGAAGAATATATGGGTGCTCATTGTATTTACCATTTTGTATGTGAATATTTAAAAAATAAAAAGTTGGTAGGGGAAAAATCATTTAAAAGCTGTCCCTAGAAATGCTTTCACAGCCTCCATTTGTGGCTGTGAGGACTCCCACCTTTCATGCTCTCACGGCATGCATACATTTCTTTATCTTCTTCTATCATCTGTCTTCCCATTAGAGTAAGGCAAAATCCATTTCTCGAATCTGCCATTTACTTCCTTTTTAATATTGGGCTAATTAGTTTCTTAGTGTTAATTTTTTTGTATCTGTAAAATGGAAAGTGCCAATGTATTAAGTCCTCAGAAAGGTAAGATGTTATTATTTGTATTAGTATTGCTATTAGGTTTTTAATCTCTGTTCATGCCCAATATAATGCGTGGCTCATAAGAGGTGCTCAATGTTTGTAGGATGAATGAATGAATGAGTGAATTATGCACTGCCCACTACTACCATTTTGTTGTTGTTAGACATCATGTATTAAAAAAACCCCCAAAACTAGTACCTAAGGGAATGATCAGATGGCTAATGTGGAGGAAGATCACAGATCAAAGATTACAGACCAATAGATGTTGGGCGTCTGTGGGGCAAGACAGAAATATGATCTCAGATTCTATGGATTTTCTTAATGTGTAGAGGTAGCTCTACTGTTAGCCTATTTGAACAGTCCTTATTTTTGTGGTTTGGTTATTACTGCCCCAATCCCATCCTGAGAACATACCTGTGTTTAGGCTTTAGGCCATACATTTCATGGTTAAACCTTTGGTTCATCTTTTTTTCCAAGTATGTGTTTGTAAGTGATTGACCACAAATCTTTACCAAAAAATGTTTAAGTCGAGAAAAGAACAACACATCAAAAGGATATCCATGGTCTGCCACACGATTCAGGATCCAAGCCCCTCTCCTGGTGCTGAGGAAAACCTAGGGCATGGGAAAAGCTTGTTTGCTTTGACCATTCTCTGGTTCATAATCCTTTAAAAGTACCCCATTTTCTTCCAAGTACATTTAACTCAGTAGTCTGGCTTTTCATTGCCTGCTGAATCCTTTTCAGACACTAAGCTTACAATTAAATTGGTGTATTCACTGACAAAGAATATATCTTGCTCTAAACCACCACTGCATTTCTGTTTAATGTCATTATGCCTCCCTGAAAAGCCCACTACCCTCTTAATTCTGCAAAGCCTATTCATTTTTAAGATCCAGGTCAAATCTGCCTCGTCCATGAAGACACTGCAGATTGTTCTGGCTGACAGTTTTCTCTCCATCCTTTGAACTCTCTAGCACTTACCACCTGTTCAACTCATTTAAAATCATGGAACAACAAAGCTGAAAGCAACTGTAGATCATTTAATTCAAAACCTTCAGTTTTATTAGCAGGTGAGTGGGAGGGGGAGAAAGGGGAAAAGGTATAGAGAATAAGTAGCATAAATAGTAGGTAGAAAATAGACCGGGGGAGGTTAAGAATAGTATAGGAAATATAGAAGCCAAAGAACTTATATGTATGACCCATGGACATGAATTAAAGGGGGGGGGGGATGTGGGTGGGAGGAGGTGTGCAGGGTGGAGGGGAGTTAAGGGGGGAAAATGGGACAATTGTAATAGCATAATCAATAAAATATATTTTTAAAAACCCTCAGTCTCTTTTGCCTTTGACATTGTATTATTGCAAAAAAATTGTTATTTATCATTTATATTGATATTATTAAACTTTTTTCTTTCAACTGTGTGAAAATGTTTAATTATGCTGACACTTAAGGTCACCATCAGTGAGAATATATACGTGAAGTTAAACACTCTTATTTTCTGTCCCTCCAAATGTTTTCTTCAGGGTGGAAGGTACAGCATACAAATCTTTCAATCTTGCCAACACACATCATCATATCACTTCCATTTATTGGGATTTGTGACCTATAAGTCATTATGTTAGGTACTTTATCTGCATTTTAATCAACACAACAACCTCTTGAGGTAGGTATCATTATCCACATTTTATGGGTGAGAGGCATGGAGAAGATGCATAACTTGCCTCAAATCATATAGCTAGTAAGTGGCAAAGCTGAATTTCTAATGCCAAGTCTGTACTTAAGAAATATTTCATTGATTATTTAATTGAAAAACTGAAGACTGCTAGTACAATAACACGAAACTAGTCAGTGGTTTTATGACCTTTGCTGGCTAAAGTCCATGTTCAGAGCTGATAAAAGTTTGACTCAGTAGTCTTGCTTTTCAGTGCCTGCACAATTCTTCTCAGACACTAAGCTTCAATTAAATTCGTGTATTCACTGACCAAGAATATATCTTGTTCTTAATCACCACTGTATTTCTGTTTAATGTCATTATTCCTCCCTGAAAAGCCCTAGCAAAAGTATCACTACATTACAAAACTTCTAGAGATAGTTTTGAGTATTAAGGAATGTAAGTGCATTGATTTACAGTATTTAGTCTCAGATCTCAGTAAAAAAGTAACCTGTCTACAGTTGGGGATAATCATGCACTTCACACATGTATCATCACTGACAGTGACCTTACTTTGATGCTATCAAAATTAGGCACTTTTACACATCACAGGTAAAAGAACAATCATAGTCTTAGGAATTAAATGGTTTTGTGTGCAGTATATATAGCTTTTGTTATGTATGAGTAATCTAAATGTGCTCAGAGCCTCAATTAAAAGTTTCCTATGTATAAAACAGTGACAATAATACATATAAACACAAGGCTGTTGTGAGAAATAGTGTACAAAAATACTACATAGTAAACACTCTAAATGCTTAATGGCTATCATCACTTTTACTTCAGTTTTCCATCTATACCTTATCTTAAGAAAACATATTTACAAGTTTGGATTTGTAAGAAACAAATGTAAGGAAAATTGTTTTACAAGAAAGGGAAATTTTCTCTTCACAAGAGCAATATAGCACAAGAATTCTTATACCAAAATGTCCCAGATATACTGAAATTTATAGGTTCACTTAAAATGATTTACAAACCACCTCTCATGTATACAACTTAATATGTAAAGCAAAAAGTCAGAATCCAGCAACTGAGTTTCTTCAGCTTATTTTGCTGTCTTTGCCCAAGCTCTCTCAGTCACAGCTATCTTACCTCTACCCACTCTGGATGCTTTGTTCCTTGGCAGCATAAAATTTTTCAGTGCATGTAAGGCCCAGCTCCCTTATAACTGGACATTAGATGAGTCAATGATATTAAAAAAGGTTCATACCTTAGGTCCCCACCACAAATCTTGTACATTCTTTTTTAAAAATATATTTCATTGATTATGCTATTACAGTTGTCCCATTTTCCCCCTTCACTTCCCTCTGCCCTGAACATACCCTCCTACCCACATTCCCCCCCCTTTAGTTCATGTCCATGGGTCATACATATAAGTTCTTTGGCTTCTACATTTCTTATACTATTCTGAACCAAACCCCCCGCCCCGTCTATTTTCTACCTAGCATTTATACTACTTATTCTCTCTAACTTTTCCCCTCTCTCTCCCTCCCACTCCCCTGTTAACCCTCCATGTGATCTCCATTTCTGTGGTTCTGTTCCTGTTCTAGTTGTTTGCTTAGTTTGTTTTTGTTTTTGTTTTAGGTGTGGTTGTTAATCATTGTGAGTTTGCTGTCACGTTACTGTTTTTGTTTTTTTTAGATAAGTCCCTTTAACATTTCATAAAATAAGGGCTTGGTGATGATGAACTCCTTTAACTTGACCTTATCTGAGAAGCACTTTATCTGCCCTTCCATTCTAAATGAAGGCTTTGCTGGATAGAGTAATCTTGAATGTAGGTCCTTGCCTTTCATGACTTGGAATACTTCTTTTCAGCCCCTTCTTGCCTGTAAGGTCTCTTTTGAGAAATCAGCTGACAGTCTTATGGGAACTCCTTTGTAGGTAACTGTCTCCTTTTCTCTTGCTGCTTCTAGGATTCTCTCCTTCAATTTAATCTTGGGTAATGTAATTATAATGTGCCTTGGGATGTTCCTCCTTGGGTCCAACTTCTTTGGGACTCTGAGCTTCCTGGACTTCCTGGAAGTCTATTTCCTTTGTCAGATTGGGGAAGTTCTCCTTCATTATTTGTTCAAATAAGTTTTCAATTTGTTGCTCTTCCTCTTCTTCTGGTACCCTGTGATTCAGATATTGGGACATTTAAAGATGTCCTGGAGGTTCCTAAGCCTCTCCTCATTTTTTCAAGTTCTTGTTTCTTCGTTTTTTTCTGGTTGGATGTTTCTTTCTTCCTTTTGGTCCACACTGTTGATTTGAGTCCCAGTTTCCTTCCCATCACTAATGGTTCCCTGTACATTTTCCTTTATTTCACTTAGCATAGCCTTCATTTTTTCATCTAATTTGCAACCAAATTCAACCAGTTCTATGAGCATCCTGATTACCAGTGTTTTGAACTGTGCATCTAATAGGTTGGCTATCTCTTTGTCACTTAGTTGTATTTTTTCTGGAGCTTTGATCTCTTCTTTCATTTCCCCTTCTTTCATTTGATCACTTCCTGTACTCCTCACAACCAAAGTGCGCCCTTCTGGTGCTGATTCCAGGTGGGTGGTCTTGTGTACATTCTAACATTCTGTGAGTCTCTCCAACAAACTCTCCTGTGAGGCTGGGAGTTTCTCCCACTGCCTCCTCAACCCCTACAGGTGTTTTCAATCAGTGGTTTGAGGCTTTATTTCCCCAAGCTGGAGCCCTGGGCTGCATGACCTATCTTGCTCCCCAGTTGTTCTTCCCAATTGTTCTTTCTGGTTTATCCGCATGCTAATGTGGGACTGCTTACTCCAGCAGCTGCCACCTCACCAGCTCCACCAGCTGCTGCCTTGTTGGCCAGCTACAGCCTTGCCCACCTGCTCTCAATCTGCCGCCTTGCAGTGAGTCCTCTCCGCCCCTCCTACCAGTCTGGAAGAATGTCTCCTTTAACTCCGTGGTTGCCGGACTTCCATACAGTTCGATTTTCTCTCCGTTCTGGTTGTTTTTTATTTTTAAATTATTGTTGTCCTTCTGTTGGTTGTGGGAGGAGGCACAGTGTGTCCTCCTATGCCTCCATCTTGGCCAGAAGCCTTTGCACATTCTTTTAATCGTAATACCCACACACATTTTTTACCCTTTCTCATTTATACAGTTATTTCCTGAAAAATGCTTGTTGAATTAAACATGGAGCATCTGATATCACTTTTGTGGTGATAGATGGGGATATGACTGAGAAGAAATGTTATTAGATGGAGTTTCTGAATAAAGGCCATTTAACAAAGTTGTGGCACTTCTATTTTTAAAAAATAATTTAAAACATATTTGTAGAGAAGCACAGCATAATTAAAGTTACATGAAGAGCAACTAGACATCTAACTATTGTTGATAGTTATGATTCAATAAAGACATGAATAACAAAATATAAAAATGACATGTCTTTTTCTAGGAATTTATAATGAAGACTCTTTCCAATTCAAAATCTGTGACATGAAACAGACAAAAACCGCTCAAAGACATAGAAATTGCTTTAATGAAAATGTCATTCTATGTTACCTAACTGTATGCAAAGGCTGGTGTGAGCTGCCTACATGTGCTATAATGTGGACACATTCATACTGATAAGTATATTGTCTTTGGAAAAATTAGACTGCTTCTTTTTTTCCAGTTGGGGAGTGAAGAGGAACATTCCCCCACCATCCTATGAGTGAAAAGTTTTCAGTGACCCATTGTGCTTTCCTTCACATAAGAGAACTTCTGCTGGCCAACAAAAGATCCATACTTTTGAGTGCTACATTCTGACAAGCTCTCCCATCAATTATTTGGTCTTATTCAAAACCCAAAAAGAATAGCTGACTGGGATTATGAGCATAGTCTATGGCCATGACCTTATTCCTTAGTGTGAGGCCAATCAAGTGGTGGGAATCTAACTGGCAACCTTGGCTCCCATCATATCATCAATCAGTGTTGCCAAATGAGGCAATGATGCAAGCCATTTGCCATTGGCACTGATGAGGAGCTATGTGCAGGTATTCATACTCTCTGTTGAGTCCACCTGTAGCTTTCTTGGTGAAGCAAAGTAAATAATTTACTGATTCAAACCTGTTTGGCTACATGGCTAATCTCCACAGCCAGATCCCCTCCAGAATTCCCAATGCCAATTACAATGACTCTCTTTCCAGTGAAACTCTCTGGATTTTTATAGTCTCGACTATGGAAATACTGTCCTTTGAACATCTCAATTCCTGCAAGCAAAGGGAAAATAATTATTAGGTGATGGTTTAGCTGACATTATTTGACAAATCATTTTTTTGCAGTGTGTAGAGTTTAAACATATACTCTCCATATGTTCTCCCTTTATTAACTTGCCTTTCTGAGTATTTTTGTCTATTTCTCATAGCCTCAGAGTAGAACCTTATGATTTACTTATAATAAATTGTCTGCTTCACTCAGAATCTGTTTGTGTTCTAGACTTATAGGCTCAGAAATACAAATGGCTTCAGAAAATTTCCATTTACTTATGTCTTTTCATTCTCTTTAAGTACCTACTCCAACTTCAACTGGAGTATGTATTTTTATAAACTCTAGAAAATACAGAGTGCTTTTGTTTTTTCAAAATGAAAATCCAGGCCAAAACCTGTAGTGAATTATTTCCTTAAGCTTTAATTTCTTCCTAATAAACTCAATATTTCTGTTTGTTGCCTTGATTGCTAAAAATACTCATTCAATCTAATGCACATAACTCCATGTTCTTTCTTTTGATCCTTAGAAAAACTAAAGTCATTGTGAAAGTAAATATGGAGCCTTCTAACTTTCCCCTAGTTTCCAAAATTACCATTCTCTCTACCTTCCAAATGCTAATAATTCAAGTTACTCCCACATCTTTCAGGAGAATATGCAGAATTAGGATAAGCCTTATTTCATCCCAAGGAAAGAATCACTAAGACCAAAATTCCCCCCATTCCTTAGGGACCAGGTCATAGGCATGGTTTGAGCATCTTCCTTCCCAGTAGGCTACTCACCAGGGAAGCTTTCCAGCGGTAAGTAAGCATTGGTATGATGACCAGTGCAAACCATGACTCCATCGAAGACATCCACCTTCTTTTTCCCTTCAGATTCTGTGACCACTTCCCATTGGCCTGAAGTGGAGAAATCAGGTTGCTTTTTCACACTGCACACAGTAGTCTGAAAAGAAAAGTGATAGCTATAGGGAATGGTAACCATAGCCTCTACAATGGACATCTTCCCTGACCTGAGTCTCCTGTCAGAATGTGACACGAAGAGCTGACACCATATGAGAGGGCTCATGCAAGAATATCTGATTTCCATACTCCACAAATAACACTTTTGTGAGATATGGTCAGTCAGAGTGAGAAAATTTTCATGAGACAGACTAAATAAAATAGAGTTGGCAGGCTAATGATGCACTCTTCTCTGCTTTTTGAAAAGTGCAAATTACTAGTTCTTTGGAACCATGCCTTAAGGCAATAATTTTCAACTGGTGTGCCACAAGAATTTTTGAAACATGCACTACCTGACTATTTAGTCAGGGGCATTGACCTCTTTTACCTTAGATTGTAAAATTAAAAAATGACAACAGCCAACACAATAGCTGTCTAGTGTGAATAAATCAAAATTATACCTATTTTTTAACTAACAAAAAATGTATCTTTTGATGTACCAAGGAATTTTAGTACTTAGTTTATATGTGCTATGGAATGAAAAAGATTGAAAATTGCTGCCCTAAGGCAATGCCACACTTGAATAAAGCTTAGGTTTCTCCTGTGGTTCTAAGATACCCTGTGCACTAAATGCCTGTTCCTCCTCTGACTCCTAAACACTCTGAGACCCTCTGATGTCTTCTTACCCTAAGTACTTTTCTGTCTACCCTCAAACATGTGACTGAGCTATAGGGTACCCTTTCCTGGTAGAGTAGAAAAATATTTCAGTGGTTTATCTCCATAATAAAGTTTTATGGAAATGAACCTCTCTTTGGCTCCCATAAAAGCCTATTTTACAAGAAACAATCAAAGAAGAAGCTGTGAGAAGGGATAGCCAATGGTATAATTTTTAGTTTTTAAAAATAAAATCATATGGGTTACTCTACCCAGCCTAAGAAAACATTAAGAATGTGCTCCTATGTGCTTCTAGGGTCTGTGACCATAATGTCTTGGTGGACTAATAGAGATACCACACCTTTATACTCTAGCCATCCTGCACTATTTATAGTTCTTCCTTTTACACAGGCTGGTGCTTCTGTCTGGATCATCCTTTTATTTCTTCTTCATTTGACTGATTCCTGCTCACCCTTCAACATTTCCTTTAGATACTATCTCCTCCAAGAAAACTTCGTGGTGCCTGATGTCTCATGGCACCACGAGGATGGGTTAAGCATCCCTCCTCTGAGCTGCAATATATAGAACTCTACAGCACTTCTCACCCTGTAATGCTTGCTTTTAAAAAAGTCAACAAAAATCTCATTTAAAATGAGGTAGGAAGGGGCAGGATCCCCATCCTGCCTCTATGTCATGCCCTATGTCAATTACGAGACACAACATGGATAAGTGTAATAGCCCTCTCAACTTCTTCCCCGCTCTAAAAGAGTTCCCTCTTTGTTTTAGTGGACTTGCATGTGGGCCACCATGGTTGTATGTTCTGGATCACAATTCTTTGTTATACCTGATTAAACCTATTTTGCTGGAGAAATATCTGACTTTTTAAGATCAACATTCTTTATTTTTATTAATTGTATTTATAATAAAATTTTCTTCATTTTTCTATCTCTTTGACTATAAAATCACTGGGCTTGTTTTGTTTTGGTTTTGTCTTTGTACCTTCACTGATTAGAATGATAGCAAACTTGTTCAGTAAGTGTTTAAACAACTGAAGAAAAGTACTACTAGGCTGTAAATGATTTACTTTGGAAGTTGTCATGGGACATTACCATTTTTATTGTAGTTAAACAGAAAAATGCATGATTTAGCAGAATGATCAGAAAGTAGGACGGAGGCCCTGACTGGTGTGGCTTAGCTAGTTGGATCATCGTCCCATACACTGGAAGGTTGCAGGTTCAATTCCCAGGCAGGGCATATTCCTAGATTTTACATTCAATGTCCAGTTGGGGCACATACAGGAGGCAACTGATCAATGTTTCTCTCTCACACTGATGTTTCTCTTTCTCTCCCCCTTTCTCTCACTCTTGAAGCAATGAAAAAATGTCCTTGGGTGAGGAAGGAAGGAAAGGGAAGGGAAGGGAAGGGAAGGAGGAGGGAAGGGAAGGAGGAAGGAAGGAAAGGAGGAAGGAAGGAATGGGTTGGCCAAAAAGTTCATTCATACAGGGTGCTTTTTTTTTTCTGTAACATGGGTCTAGTAGCACTTAGTTGTCTTTAACGTCATTCAAAACAATTTTGTTAGACTGTATTGTGACAGCTGTCATATCAGTGTACATTTGTAAAAATATTAAAATTGGTGAATTTTTGTGTAGCCATTTTAATATTGAAGATGGAAGAAAATAAACATTTTCAGCATATTATGCTTTGTTACTTCAAGAAAGGTAAAAACAAAACTGAAACACACACACAAAAAGATTTGTGCAGTGTATGGAGAAGGTACTATGACTGACTGAATGTGTCAAAAATGGTTTGTGAAGTTTAGTGCTGGAGATTTCTTGCTGGACAATGCTCCATGGTTGGGTAGACCAGTTGAAGTAGACAGAGATCAAATCAAAACATTGATTGAGAACAATGAAGTTGCACACTGAGAACTATCAATGTTATACCACACAGGAAATAGCCAACATACTCAAAATACCCAAATCAAGTGTTGAAAATCATTTGCTTAAGCTTGGTTATGTTAATTGCTTTGATATTTGGGTTCCACATAAGTTAAGTGAAAAAAAAACCTCCTTGACCGTATTCCCACATGTAATTCTCTTCTTAAACATAATGAAAACATTCTGTTTTTAAAACAAATTGCGATGGGTGATGAAAAGTGGATAGGTTACAATAATGTAGAACAGAAGAGAATGTGGGGCAAGTGAAATGCACCACCACCAACCACACCAAAGACCAGTCTTCATCCAGAGAAGGTGATATGTAAATGGTGGGATTGGAAGGGAGCCCTTTATTATGAACTCCTTCCAGAAAACCAAATGATTAATTCCAACAAGCACTGCTCCCAGTTAGACCAACTGGAAGCAACACTTGAAAAAATGTGTCTGGAATTAGTCAACAGAAAACACATAATCTTCCATCACAATAACACAAAACTGCATGTTTCTTTGATAACCAGACAAAAATTGTTACAGCTTGTCTGAGAAGTTATGATTCATTCACTGTATTCACCAGACATTTTCCCTTTGGATTTCCATTTATTTTGGTCTTTACAAAATTCTCCTAATGGAAAAAAGTTCAATTCCCTGGAAGGCTGCAAAAGGCACCTGTAACAGTTCTTTGCTCAGAAATATAAAATTTTGGGGAAGATGGAATTATGAAGTTGCCTGAAAGATGGCAGAAGGTAGTGGAACAAAATGATGAATACACTGTTCAATAAAGTTATCGGTGAAAATGAAAAAGGGTGTGTATTTTACTTTTACTTCAAAACTAAATGAACATTTTGGCCAACCCATTACAAAGGAGATGGGGGTTGGAGAATTGAATTAAGGTGGTCAAAAGATACAAAATTCCAGTTATAAGATAAATTAGTACTGGGGATATAATGCACTATATATAACTACAGTTAACACTGCTGCATGGTATGTTTGAAAGTTGTTGAGAGAGTATGTCCTAAGAGTTTTCATCACAAAGGAAAAAAAGGTAGAAGATTCAGGCTTTTTGCCAGCTGTCAGAAATATCTACTCTTTTATGGCCATAGCTAAAATGATAGAAAAGTCATGGAAGACATTACAGCAGGAAGAAACCATTGAATGATCTAGTACAATCATCTTGCTTTACGGAAAAGAAAATTGAGACACATGGAAATTGAGGAACTTACTTGTCTGAGGTCACAAGTTGCTTAGTAGTACAAAAATAGAGTAGAATTCAAGTTTTTGTTGCTCGATTCACTGTTCTTCCCTTTTCACCAGTGTTAACTTCTTTGCTTTCTCAGTAACTTCCCAATATCTACTTCACTGGGTTGTTGTGATCACATAAAATAATGCATTGGAAAATATTTCAGGAAGTATAAGAGGGCTAAGCACTAGTGGATGAATTGTGGAACCAAAGAGTTTTTAAAGTTCCTATGCCTGTCAGTTCCCCTCTCTAATTAGGAAAACATTCCCCCTTATTTATTTTATTACAACGTAATAGTATACAATGAAAACATTCTGGCCTGTGGCTTCCTACAGCTGCGGCCAAAATATATAAAAGAAGGACTTTTCTCTGAATATTTTTCAGACACACAGAAGACAAAGAGTGCACTCTTTGTCTAGATAGGATAGATACCTGTGGTATCAAACCAATATTTATATGAAAGCACTGGTAAATGAAGCCACATTAATTCATTTACTTGACAAACAACTTCAAACACAAAGATATCCACAAAATTTCCTACCTTCAACTGGATATACTTTAGAAGGTCAAATTCTTTGGCATACATCCTGATATATTCCAGGACCTGGGAGTTGTGCATGAAGTTAGGAAAATGGTCTGGGATGAGATAGTCACTGAAGCACATCATCTCCTTAGAAGTGTTGATGATCACTGATTTGTAAATACTGGCCCTTCCTTCTTCAGGATTTTCCTGCAGTAAATAAGATGTATTCAGAGGCACTACAGAATTAACTTCATGTTTTATAAACAGCCAATAAACAGTTGAAAAAGTCTCTGAAAGAAATGTCATTAAAAAAGTTACATACGCACACACCTTGAATCTGAGTTGCCTTTATGACTTGCTTTTGACCAACAGCATGCAGTTGGAATGATACTGAATGGCTTCCAAGATTGCCATAAGTAGTCTTACAGCCTCTGCCTAGGTCTCTTAGAAAGCTTGCTCTGGTGGAAGTCAGCAGCCATGTAAAAAGTCCAGCTACCCTGAGACTACCATACTGTGAGGAAATACATGTTAGTCACATGAAAAGAATGTATGAGACAGAGAGATGTGGAACCAGCTCCCAGAAATTCTTTTATCCCAGTTGAAGCTCTAAATGTGTGAGCAAAGAGATTATAGCAGATGTCCAGTCGCAGTTGTCAGCTCATTGCGATGACATGAAATTCCAAGTAAGAACTGCCCATCTGAATAATAATCTTTTTTTTTAAAGATTTTATTCATTTTGTTTTTAGAGAGGGAAGGGAGGGAGAGAGAGAGAGAAACATCAATGTGCGGTTGCTGGGGGTCATGGCCTGCAACCCAGGCGTGTGCCCTGACTGGGAATTGAATCTGCGACACTTTGGTTTGCAGCCCGCGCTCAATCCACTGAGCTATGCCAGCCAGGGCTTTGAATAATAATCTTAACTATCTTATGTATCTCAAAGCCTAGGTGAGTTTTTGAGGGTTTTCATATACTTATGAGATTGCTGTCCAGGAATCACTGTACTAACTTAAATTCTGTCCAGTATATGTTCCTGTTTTACCTCATTTTTACTAATTTAAGAGACAATTACAGAACTTCTAGTCAAGATGGCAGCACAGGTAAACATGGCTTCCTCCTCACGCAACCACATCAAAATAAAATTACAACTAAACTACAGAATGACCATTCAGAACCATCAGATAATGAGCTGAATGAAAGAGGAACTATTTAAAGAAGAAACCAAATACAGAATTAAAGAAGAAACTGCATGAAGACTGGTAGGAGGGGTGGACATGGAACAGGCTGGTCCCTCACCCACATGTGGCAGATAAAAATCAGAAGGATTATCTCAGGAGAAAGGGGTCCCAGCCTCATACTAGGCTCCCCAGCCCAGGGTTCCAGTGCCAGGAATGTAAGTCCCCATAACTTCTGGCAAAAACTAGTGGGGAATGAGGCTGTGGGAGACAGAAACTGTGGGATTCTCAGGCAGTTCCTCTTAAAGGGCCCATGCACAGACTTACTTGGACTCACTGCCTCTGAGCTCCAGCATGGGACAGCAGACTGAAAGGCATCAGAACATACAGGAAGGAACTGAATTGTCTAGTATCAGGGCAAGAGCTGAAGGGCAGCATTTCTCCCAGACAGAACTGCTGGCAGAGGCCACTGTTCATTTTCGGAGGCTTCCTGGACAAAGCCACAGAGCCCCCATACCCCTCACTAAGTTGCCTCAGGCCCAGCACTAGCAGAAACCAGCCTTGGTTTATGACTTGGCCTTACCTGGGCACCTCCAAGCCCAGCACAAGTAGCAGCCATCTGCAGATCACTTTGCAGCTTATGCCGTGTGATCTTAGAGAGAACACAGGTGGTGCCCGACCTTGGATGTGCCAACAGCAATCAAGGCTCACCTATAACAGGAGGGATATACACAAGACACATAGTGGGCATAACTTGAGTATCCAGCTTGGGTAATAGGGGAGGCTGTGCTCTGGACTCTACAGGACACCTACTACACTAGGCCACTCTACCAAGCTTGGGAGTTGTAGTAGCTCTACCTAATATACAGAAACAATTGCAAGGAGGCTGTCAACATGAGGAGACAAAGAAACATGTCCAAAATGAAAGAATAAAACAAAACTAAAAAAAAACCCCCACACACACACTAAACTAAATGGAGACAAGCAATCTACTAGGTGTAGAGTTCAAAAAACTGTAATAACAATACTCAAGGAACTTAGCAAGTACCTCAACAGCATAAAAAAATCCAGTCAGAAACAAAGGATACACTAATGAAAATAAATAACAATTTACAGGGAATCAACAGTAAAGTATATGAAGCGATAATCAAATCAGTGCTTTGGAACATAAGGAAGAAAAAACAACCAATCATAACATCAAGAAAAAAATAATCCAAAAAAATGAGGATAATGTGAGGAGCCTTTAGGACAACTTTAAGCATACCAACATTCTCCTTCCAGCACCCCCCAACATTTGCATCATTGGGGTGCTGGAAAAAGAATAGAGAGCAAGAAATTAGAAACTTATCTGAAAAAAATAATGACAGAAAACTTCCCCTAACTTGGTAAAGGAAATAGATGTACAAGTCCAGAAAGCACAGAGTCCCAAACAAGATAAACCCAAAGATGTCTACACCAAGAGACACATCATAATTGAAATGCCAAAGATTAAAGACAAAGAGAGAACCTTAAAAGTGGCAAGAGGAAAAGTTAGTTGTCTACAAGGGGAGCTCCCATAAGACTGTCAGCTGATTTCTCAATGGAAACTTTGCAGGCTGAAACAAAGCAGTATGGAGATACCTCAAAAAAATTAAAAATAAATCTGCCTTTTGATGCAGCAATCCCACTTCTGGGAATATATCTGAAGGAACCCAAAACACTAACTTGAAAGAACATAAGCACCCCTATGTTCATTGCAGCATTATTTGCAATTGCCAAGATATGGAAGCAGCCCAAGTGTCCATCAGTAGATGAGTAGACTAAATAACTATGGGACATTTACACAATGGAATACTACTCAACCATAAAAAAGAAAATTTTACCCTTTGTGATGGTATGGATGGACCTGGAGAACATTATGCTAAGTGAAATATGCCAGTCAGAGGAAGACAAATACCATATGATTTCACTCATATGTGGAATCTAACGAACAAACCAAACTAAAAAGGAAAATGGGGACAGACTCATAGATGGAGAGAAGGATGACAGCTAGTTGGTGGGGGAGGTTAGGGGATAGAGGAACTGAGTGAAAAGGAAAAAGGACTTATGAACATGGACAACAGTGTGGTGATTGCTGGGGAGAGGAGGGTATAAAGGGACTAAATGGTAATGGAAAAAATACAATAAAGATTTAAAAAGTAATAACAATAATAAAAAGAAGGAATTGGCAAGAAATAGTCAAAGTGATAAAAATCAAGGACCTACAGCCAAGATTACTCTACCCAGTAAAGCTATCATTTAGAATTGAAGGACAGATAAAGATTTTCCCAGATAAGAAAAAGCAAAAGGAGTTCATCATCATCAAACCAGTATTATATGAAATGTTAAAGGTCTTCTTTAAGAAGAAGATAACAAACAATAAAATGGTAATAAATACATATCTATCAACAGTTGATTCTAAAGGACAAAATTAATGAACAAGCAGATCAAAAAACAGAATCATAGATACAGAGAATGTTGTGATGATTGACAGATGGGAGGGGGGTCAAGGGGATGGGTGAAAAAGATAAAGGGATTAAGAAGTACAAATTGGTTGTTTCAGAATAGTCGTGGGAGTGTAAAGTACAGTATAGGCAATAAAGTAGCCAAAGAACATATATACATGACCCATGGACATGTATGATGGTGTGGGGATTGCCTGAGGGAGTGTGTGGGTAGGAGCTGGGTGGAGGAAACCAAAGGAGGGAAAACTGGGATAACTGTAATAACATAAACAATATAATATAACTTAAAAAAAGTCACCCTGGCTGGTGTAGCTCAGTGGTTTGAGTGAGAGCCTGTGAACCAAAGGGTTGCCGGTTTGATTCCCAGTCTAGGGCACATGCCTGGGTTGCAGGCCAGGTCCCCAGTAGTGGGTATGTGAGAGGCAACTGCACATTGATGTTTCTCTCTCTCTCCTTTTTCCTTTCTCCTCTCTCTAAAAGTAAATAAATAAAATCTTTTTAAAAATGTCAATTACTCAGTGTCAGCAAAAATGAAGTAAAATTGAAACTTATGCTGGACAGAGTGTATGTAAGTTAACACAATGTGCTTTTCCACCACCAGTCATACTAACATTAGGATGAGATCAAGAATTGATGGAAACTAATGTCTTGAGAACTTATATACATGGCAGTCCCTCCTTATCAGCTTTTTTGCGGTTTCAGTTACCTGCAGTTACCTTTGGTCTGAAAATAGTAAATAGTAAAGATGAACAGTAAATGGTGAATAGTAAATAGTAAAGATAAAGTTCCAAAAATAAACAATTCCTAAGTTTTAAATTTTTGTGCTATTCTGAGCAGCATGATGAAATCTCATTCTGTCCTTCTTTGACCTGCCTCAAAGAGATGAATCATCTCTTTGTCTATTATATCTACACTGCATATGCTCCCTAGTCATTTATAGCCATCCTGGTTATCATATTGACTACCAGAAGTATTGCAGTGGTTGTGTTCAAGGATCACTATTTTACTTAGTAATGGCTCCAAAGTGAAAGAGTAGTTTTGCTGACAGTTCAAATATGCCAAAGAGAAGCCATAAGTGATTTAAGTGAAAACTTGAGTATAATATAGTAAGATATTTTGAGAGAGACCACATTCATATAATTTTTTACAGTATATTATAATTGCTCTACTTTATTAATTATTATTGTTAATCTCTTCTGTGCCTAATTTATAAATTAAACTTTATTATAGGCATGTATGTATAGGAAAAACCATAGTTTCTATAGGGTTTGGTATTATCTGTGGTTTCAGGCATCCACTGGGGATCCTGAAACATAACCCTCATAGGCATGGGGGGATAATTATTACTAGGACTTTTCAGCAATAACAAGAAGGAGGCAAGTGGTGAATCCTACTCCTGTTTGGCGGGTGGAATAGAGAAAAAGAAATAGAGATAAGAAAAGAAAATGCAAGTGATCGTATTTGAGAAGAAAAAAATACATGCTGTATCTCTGGGATCTCTCTCAAAAGAACAGATATTTCTGACATATATATACACATATACATAATATAATATCTCATATATATTAAAATACATGTAAAATATGATGTATAATATAATAGACACAGATGTGCTCTGTCTTAACATAAGTCAGAGATTTATGATAAAATATAGCTTATTTATTTTCAAGGAAGTAGTTTATAACGTGTTGAAATTTTGCCAAGAGGATAATTAGAAAAAAAACTTCAAGTTAAGACTATCAGAGAACAAGGGTAAACCACTTTGGAGATAAAAGACAAGTACCTGATGATTAGGTAGGGTGGTGGACCCTGGGATGGTGATTTCATACCTGGTCAGTAGCTGCCACATCTGGCTAGGATGTTTACCAGAGACACCAAATACATGGGCCCCACTCCAGGTCTACTGAATAATAATAACTGACACATAACACTTACTTGGTAGGTACCACAGTTGTTAATAATTGACACAATTATTCATGCACTTAATCTCCACAATAACTCTATGAAGTGCGTAGGTACTGTTTGTTATTTTCTCCTTCTTAGAGATGAAGAAACAGAAGTACAGAGAGGTTTACTGATTTTCTCCAACATGACACTGCTAATAGGTACAGACATAGAATCTGAACCCAGACTATGCTATTAAGTTCTACACTACGTTGTGGCTAGATTTCAAAAATAGAATTTTCTATTGACTACTAAATACTAATTAACAACTTTTTCGGCCAATGCCCAAGACTGATGATGAAGACTGACTGATAGGGGAGGTGTGTGATTTGCTAAAGGATATCTACTTTAGAACTAAATAAGGACTATTGTTAAATAGAGTTAGTCCTCCAGAACAGAGCCAAGATGCAAAAGGACTGTACTGCTCAACTAAGGAATGCTATGAAGCCACTTTTAAGGAGCTGGTCAACACTGTGTCAGTTTTTATGAAATGTGAAACATATATGGATATCCCAATACCATTCACTGGTTTAGAAAGTGAGTTTAAAAGCAAACTCAATGCATGTCACTTTGGAGATCAGGAAAGGAAGTTACTATTATTTGTCATATGATAAGCTTGACTATCATTGAAGTAGATAATACCTGAACTGCTAGTAACAAGTTACAGGTCTGGATATGCATGCTAAAGCAACTCGACTTTAAAACTGAATATTTGCAAAGACAAGAAAACCCAGGTGCAGGTGTTTTTCACCTTCTTCTGAAGACAGGGCTTTGACCTACTGATTTGATTTCTCAAGTGAAGGAAAAGTTCAAAGAAAAGAAGGCAGCCAGACTTTATATTCTACCAAAGGACAAGGATTATGAGAGAATTATGTAAAGTGAACCAGAATTCAAAGAAAGAAAGGAAAGAAAAGAAAAGGAAGAAAGAAAAAGAAAGAGAGGAAGGAAAGAAGGAAGGAAGGAAGGAAGGAAGGAAGGAAGGAAGGAAGGAAGGGAGGGAGGGAGGAAGGGAGGGAGGGAGGGAGGGAGGGAGGGAGGGAGGGAGGAAAGGAAAGAAAGGTAACAAGGTTAGAGAAGATTAAAAGGGGAGATTCCTGGAAGGAGTTGTAAGCAGGTGCTTTACATCACTTACCTACTAATGCAGACCAGGAACAACCACTCTAAATTTTCTAACCACTTTACATTTTTCTGTTTGTTATTTTGTTTTCCCCTTACTACCACCCAGTGTTCCCCTCTTCTGGATAGCAGCAAGACTCGGTAAGTGAAATGATCTCTGTGCCATTTTTCAGGACGTCGGTAAAAGAAAAACAAATGATACCTGTATTTCATTTTGCTGCCAGCCTAGGGAAAGAGGAAATCTGTACAGAAGTGATGGCTGCAGAGAAAAGGTCAGCAGACTGAATTCTAGCACATTTAACCACTGTCAAGGCCATCATATTTCCTGACACAAGATAAAATGTCACATGCTCCTACTTGCAACGAGGGTTCCAAGTATCAATAAACCAGGAGATTTACCTGGAACCTCCAGAGCCCTCCGATGTCATCAGTCCTTTCAAAGCAGATGGGCTCCAAGCCTTCTTCTAGGCAGCACTTGATAGATGTGAGCCCGCTCACACCTCCCCCAATCACAGCAATTCTTTTGTTGGTCATGGTCTCCAGAGATCTTCGGCTGAATCTACGCAACCTACCTAGAGAAAAAATGACAAAAGACAGCACACGTAAGTTAACACCTTTCAAGAGAAGAACATGGCCCTGGCATCCAAATAAATCCTGCAACAACAGTTGTCTTCGGGGAAGCCAGATTCTGCTGTCTTCTTAGCCATTGGGAATTGCTACGCTTGGGACAGGGGAGTCCCGTGCCTCCAAGCTGAGGCTCAGAACTGAGAGCTCTGCTGTCTCATACTGGATCTCACTACCTTTCTTAACAACACCAGGCAGATCTTTCAGCTGAAACCTGGAGGCTGCTTTGCAGTTTCGGCTGTTTTCAACAACGCAAGTAGCAACAAAGTGCAAACTGCGACAGCCAATGAAACAAGCCGCTCCGCCCCACCTCTTTCAGCCAACACCCCGCCCCCTCAGCCGCACAGCTCCCGGAGGGGCGGGGGAGGGGTGGGAGAGAGGGATAAAATCCGGAACTTGGGCACAAAAAATTAATCCTACAATTTATCTTTCAGCTGACATTTCCCGCACTCTCAACCACTCTCTCTGGAGATGTAGAGGCCTTCTATCTCCTTTGCTCCCCACCTCCGCATCCGCTGTGAGCTTCCTAGTGCTGCCTTAAAGGGATAAACTCTTCTTTCTTTCTTTTTAAAAAATTACTTTATTGTTGTTCAGTTACAGTTGCCTGCATTTTCTCCCCACCACTACCCCCACCCCAGCCAAACCCACCTCCCTCCCTTGCTTCCACCCTCCTCCTCGGTTTTGTCCATGTGTCCTTCATAGTAGTTCCTGAAAACCCTTCCCCCCACTGTCCCCTCCCCGATCCCCTGTTAGATTGTTCTTCATTTCAGTGTCTCTGGTTATTTTGTTTGCTTTTTTCTTTTGTTGGCTATGTTTCAGTTAAAGGTGAGATCATACGGTATTTGGGACAAACTCTTCTTACTGGTGAAGGAGAGTTGGTCAACAACCCTAAAGCAAGTCTTGCTGCAATAGCTTAAGTGGAGAGCCTCAATCTCTTAGGAGATCGGTTAAAACAGGTCTGGTCCCTCATCCACCCCAAACTCTTAACCCACCTCACACGTTGGATCTTTGGTTCTATGCTACTGGTGAAAATTTCCCTTAAAATACCCACGCACTGAAATGGGTGCTGGCCTACAGTGAAGAATGGATTACAGTTCCTACTTAGAGGAGCTTATAGTTTAATGAAGACCAAAACACAGACCAATAATGTCAATAAAATAAAAATACGTTTACAAGTGTCTTCTCTTATGCCATTACATGTAGAATTAAAACAACAAAATACCCACTTTTAAAATGTAACTTAAAATTTTCAAACATAAAATCATGCAGAAAAGGTCAATATAACAGATACAGTATTTTACTCACTGGGTCACGGGGCACACCCAACCCAGGAATCTATTCTAACAGGGGGTGTTGAAGAGGCAGGCTGTGTCTTGTGCATCCATCGTCACTCAACTTTGCTCAAGATGGTTGAATTCCAATAATGTCAGCCCTGGATTTTCACTTACTGGTCTCACCTCAAAAGTATTGTTCATGGAGTGAGTAGTTAACATTTCTCAAGAGCTTACATTGTATGGTTCTCAAAGGCTTAATGGGAATGGATACTTAATCCTGTAAGCAACCTGTATGAGGCAAATACTATTATCACTCCCATTTTGCAAGTGAGTGGAGGGATGCAAGCCACACACTCCAGGGTTAGGCCTGGACTTCTGGTCACTGTGCCTACTGCTCCCTCAGGAGGGCATTTTTACTTCTTACTTAGTCACGAGTGCCTCTTTTATTTCTCATTTCCTTTTTGCCTAACTTCTGCCTTTGTAACACTCTCATTGAATTGCTTTTAGCTGAGCTACAGTGTGCGTTATTTTAGCTACTTCAACATGTGTTTAAAAATAGAACTTTGCTTTGGGGAGTCATTTGGTTCCATTAGGAAGATTCCTGCTCAATGTATGGTCTAAATCATATTAAAAATATATAGCAAAGACACATACACATACTGGAACACATAACATCAACATAGTCTAATGGGAGAATGAAGGACAAGAGGCTCAAGACTCGACTTTAGGATGGAGATTTATATATTTTTTCAGGAATTAAAAGAAATATTTTTGCTTTTTGATGTAGTCCTGTCTTTTGGCTCTTATTTAGGAAAACCTTTTAGTAGTCACATAGAGTTGACCTAATCTAAAAGTATTTTTATTTAGAAAATTTTTTATTGTTTATGCTATTAAAGTTGTCCCGCTTTCTCCCTCTTTGCACCCCCTCCACCCAGCCCACGCCCTACTTCCATAATCAGTTCCCTCACCATTGTCTATGTCCGTGGGTCTTCATACATGTTTTTTGACTAATCCCTTCACCTTATTTCAAATAGTCTCCAACTCCCTCCTACCCTCTTACAACTGTCAGTCTGTTCCATAATTTTTTGTGCCTTTGGTTCTCTTTTGTTTATCATTTTGTTCATTAGATTCCTCCAATAAGTGAGATCATATAGTATTTGTCTTTCACTGACTGGCTTATTTCACATAGCTTAATAGTCTCCAGTTCCATCTGTGCTGTATACAAAGGTAGGACTTCCTTCTTTCTTTCTGCTGCACAGAGTTCCACTGTGTAGATGTGACACAGTTTTTTTTATCCACTCATCTAATGATGGGCATTTAGGCTATTTCTAAATCTTGGCTATTGTAAACAGTGATGCTATGAATATGGGGGTGCATAAATTCTTTTGAATTGGTGTTTCAGGATTCTTAGGGTATATTCCCAGTAGTGGAATCACTGGGTCAAAAGGCAGTTCCATTTTTAGTTTTTTGAGGAAATTCATGCTGTTTTCCATAGTGGCTACACCAGTCTGCATTCTCACCAACAGTATACTAAGATTCCCTTTTCTCCACAACCTTGCCAGTGCTTGTTTGTTGATTTATTAATGATAGCCATTTTGGCAGATATGAGGTGATATCTCATTTGGTTTTAATTGACATCTCTCTGATGGCTAGTGATGTTGAGCATTTTTTTCATATGTCTATGGGCCATCTGTATGTCCTCCTTGGAGAAGTATATATTCAAGTCTTTCGCTCATTTTTTAATTAGATTACTGGTCTTCCTAGTGTTGAGTCATATAAGTTCTTTATATATTTGGAGACTAAACCCTTTGTCCAATGTCACTGGCAAATGTGTTCTCCCATACAGCTGGTTCGCTTTTCATTACGATGATGATTTCTTTAGCTATGAAGAAGTTTTTTTTTAACTTGATGTAGTTCCATTTGTTTGTTTGTTTTCTTTTATTTCCCTTGCCTAGGAGATATATCAGGAAAATATTGCTATATGAGATACTTGAAATTTTACTGCCCATATTTTCCTCTATGATTTTTATGGTATCACAATTTAATATTTAAGTCTTTTATCCATTTTGAGTTTATGCTGGTGTAGGGCATAAGATGATAGTCTAGTTTCATTTTTTTGCATATACCAGTCCAATTCTCCCAACACCAGTTATTGAAGAGACTATCTTTATTCTATTGTATGCTCTTGCCTCCTTTGTCAAATATTAATTGACCATAAAGACATGGGCTTGTTTCTGGTCTCTCAATTCTGTTCCATTGAGTGATGTGTCTGTGTCTGTTCTTATATCAGTACCAGACTGTTTTGGTTACAGCAGACTTGTAGCATAGTTTGGTATCAGGTATTGTAATCCTTACAGTTTCATTCTTCTTTCTCAAGATTGCTTGAGGCTATTCAGGGTCTTTTTGATTCCATATAAATTTTTGAAATATTTGTTCCAGATCTGTGAAATATGTTATTGGTATCTTAATAGGAATTGCCTTGCATCTATAGATTGCTTTGGGTAGCATGGGCATTTCAATGATGTTAATTCTTCCAGTCCATGAACACGGTATATGCTTCCATTTGTATCTTCCTCAAATTCTTTCTTAGGTGTCCTATAGTTTTCCAAGTACAGGTCTTTTACCTCCTTGGTTAAATTTCTTCCTAGGTACTTTATTTTGTTGTTGTTGTTGTTGCAATAGAAATGGGATTGTTTTCTTAGTTTTTCTGATAGTTCATTATAGTTGTATGAAAATACCATCAAATTCTGAATATTGACTTTGTACCCTGCTACTTTGCTGAATTCACTTACTAGGTTGAGTATTTTTCTGGTGGAGCCTATAAAATTTTCTATGTACCATATTTTGTCCTCTATGAATAATGACAGCTTTACTTCCTCTTTTCCAATTTGGGTGCTTTTTATTTCTTGATCTTGTCTGATCACTGTGGCTAGGACTAAGTACAAATTTGAGTAGGAATGGTGAAAGCAGATATCCTTGTCTTTTTCCTGATAGTAAAAAAAATGTGTTTAGCCCTGGCTGGTGTGGCTCAGTGGATTGAGCATGGGCTGTGAACCAAAGGGTTGCCAGTTCTATTCCCAGTCAGGGCACATGTCTGGGTTGTGGGCCAGGTCCCCAGTAGTGGGCACTCGAGAGTCAACCACACACTGATATTTCTCTCCCTCTCTTTCTCCTTCACTTCCTCTCTGTTTAAAAATGAATACATAAAATCTTTAAAAAAATGTGTTTAGTTTTTTACCCATTAAGTATGATGTTGGCAGTAGGTTTTTCATATACAGCCTTTATTATGTTGAGTTCTATTTCCTTTGTTACCATTTTGTGAGTGTTTTTTATCATAAATGGGTACTGTAACCTATCAAATGCTTTTTCTGCATCTACTGATATGATCATGTGATTATTGTCTTTTATTTGGTTTATGTGATGTATCACATTTATTGATTTGTGGATATTGTACCATCCTTGCATCCCTGGAATAAATTCCACTTGATCATGGTGAATGATATTTTTCATGTATTGCTGGATCCAGTTTGCTAATATTTGTTGAGGATTTTAGCATCTATTGATATTGATTTAGCACCAGTGATATTAGCCTGTAGTTTTCTTTCATTGTGTATTTACTTGGTTTTGGAATTCAGATAATACTGGCCTCATAGAAAGCACCTGGAAGTTTTCCCTTTTCTTGAATTTTTTGGAAGAGTTTGAGAAAGACAAGCATTAGTTCTTCTTTGAGTGATTGGTAAAATTCACCTATAAAGCCATCTGGTCCAGGGCTTTTGTGTGCTGGGAGTTCTTGTCTAACTGCTTCGATTTGTTTCATTGTTATCAGTCTATTTAGGTTTTCTGCTTCTCTCTGATTCAGTTTTGGGAGATTGTATGTTTCTGGAAATTTGTCCACTTCACCTAGGTTGATAATTTTTTGGCATATAGTTGTTCATAGTAATTTCTATTTTTTATTTTATTTTAATCATTCTTCAAGTACAGTTTTTTCCCTTTTACTCCCAATCCTGCCCACCCTCTCAACCCTC